ACCGGGCAGGCTTGTCTCGGTTCTCTGCTTGGGGTCACTATGTGTCATAGAATTCTGCCTATCACACCAGCCTCTCTGCCTTGGCTAACAGTGGCACATCCAACAGAAATGAGACTTGACAAAGGGTTGCGTGCACTGAAGTTTAGGGGGAAGTATGCAATTCCCAGAAACAGAGGGAGAGAGAAGATAGCCAAAAAATAAGACTATCAGGATAAAGAGGGCACAAAATGACAATAAGAAAGTGCTCCCAAAGGTTTATGAGCAAGGGTACTTCATATACCTCCTAGATATCCACCATTTTATAACCAACAGGCAGTTAAATGCCCCTTTGAAATACCTCTAATGTAGACAAAATACTAGAGAGGACTGCAGTAATGTATTAATAAAATAATGTATCTAAAAATACAAATTACTGTAAAGTCCTAGCAAAACCTAAAATTATTACTATTAAAATGTTTTCTATTATGTTAATATTTTCTTTTCTTTTTTTAATAGTTTATTGTCAAGTTTGGTTTTCATATAACACCCAGTGCCCATCCCCACAAGTTACATTAATATTTTCAATATATAAAAGAATAGGTAACAGTTCTTGCATATTTACTCTATGTCAAGTCCTATGCCTTCACATGGATTATGTCTCTCAGTAGTCCTATCAGGTAAGTAGTATTGTTATTCCCATTTTACAGAGGAAACTGATTTTAAAATATTCAGGGACTTGTACAGAAATCATGCAGTCAGGGAGACAGAACCAGGATTCACATGTAGGTCTGTCTACTTCCAATCATTCACACTCATTATGTTAATCTATGGATGTTAAAGAAAGAGTCAGAAAGACAGTCACAATCAGAAAGAAAAGGCCAGATTTGAAGATGGACAAACAGATGGAGAGAACAAACACAGACCCCAGCTCTGGAATTACTGAGTTGGGTTCACTAGCTAAGGTAAACTGCTCCAGTTACAATGTCCTTTTCACAGCTTTTAAGGAGAACTTCTGGAATTCTGTTTCACAATCTTTGAAATGAAAATTAGTTCTTGAGTATTTGCTTGTTATTTGCGACATTGCACTTTTTTTATTCCTTGCCAAATTGTCATGGATACCTTCTGTAGCTGGGGCCAAGTGGGAGAATTATTATACTGATTAAATTGCTAAGGACAGAACAAAATTACCTCATTAGAATCAAACCAAAACCCAGCCATGACGGAACATTGCTTACTTCCATAAAAAGTAAGATTATGGGGATGTGGAGGGGTAGATACTCTATAAAAGCAATCTGGGGGCACCTGGGTGGCTCAGTTGGTTAAGCCTCTGACTTTGGCTCAGGTCATGAACTCACGATTAGTGGGTTTGAGTTCCACGTTGGGCTTTGTGCTGACAGCTCAGAGCTTGAAGCCTGCCTTGGATTCTGTGTCTCCCTCTCTCTCTGCCCCTCCCCTACACATACTTGTGTCTCTCTCTGTCTCTCAAATTGAATAAATGTTTTAAAAAATTTTAAATAAAAGCAAGCAAGCTGGTGCAGGGAAAACTGGAGAGGAACAAGAAAACAGCAATTGATGCACAGGGAGATGGAGAGCAAGGGAAATGGTGGACTGGTAAATAAATGACATTGGAAATGTGGCTATCTGTTTGGGGGGGGGGGAAGAATGTGGATCTTTACATCACAGGGTTATTTAATTTTTATTTTATTTTATTTTTTTAGTTTTCTTTTAAATTTATTTATTTCAGGAGGAGGGGCAGAGAGGGAGCGAGAGAAGCCCAAGCAGGCTCCACGCTGTCAGTGCAGAGCCTGATGCAGGGCTTGATCCCAGGAACCGTGAGATCATGACCTGAGTTGAAATCAAGAGTCAGATGCTCAATTGACTAAGTCACTCTGGTGCCCCAATACAGGGTGATTTTAAATGTCACTCTACAAAATTAGATCTGTCTTGTCACTATTATACTAATTGATTTATTTACCTATTTCTGTACCAATATCACACTGTAAGGTTTTATACTGTATTCTGATGTCTTACAGTCATTGCTGTTTTCCAAAAATTTATTGGTTCCAAAGCAATTTTGAGAACAAAGCTGGAGACATCATGCTCCTGGATCTCAAACTATATTACAAATCTACAGGAATAAAACTGTATGGTGTTGGCATAAAAATTGACATACTGATCGATGCAACAGAATGGAGAGCTCAGAAATAAACCTGTACTAGATACTTTATATTTTATACTTTTAAATTGTGTGAAACCCATTAAGTACTATCATCCCAAATTTAAAATGAGGAGGGTAGGTTCAACCAGAGTGAGTAACTTTCACAAGGATCCACTTCTGGCAGAGGGAATCTGTCTAGGGTCTGGATTCCAGCTCAGGGGCCCTACTAGTCTTTGGGTTTCTCTGATATTTGTTTGACATTCGTTTAGAACCTACTGTGTACCAGGCACTGTTCAAGGTGATGAATATAGCAATAAACAAAACAGACACAAATTTTTGTCCTCATAGAATTTATATTCTATTGTGTTGGCAAGACCCGGGGTTTATTTCATTAGTATCTTAAGATATTTAGTAATACATACCCATCATAACACTCTGTTCAGAGATCTGCTTATTTCTGAGCACCATCCTGGTTATAATTTCCTTAGGGACCTGACTTCATCCTTTTACAGAAGCCAGGAGAGTTCTGAGCCCAGACTTCCTGTTACTTTGCATATTTTGACAAGAAGAGCTAGAATTATGCATTTATGACTGAGGCTTTATTTCCACAATGATTCCCAAGCAATGATGCCAACTGTGCGTTTCTGATGGGAGCACCTCTGCTTCAGTTCTGCTCTGAGGGCTTGAGTAGCACCAGACCAAGACCAGGCAAGTAGCTGGTATAGGCTGGAGGTTTCTTTTTTTTTTTTTTTTTAATGTTTTATTTATTTCTAAGAGAGAGAGAGAGAGACAGCGTGAGCAGGGGAGGGTCAGAGAGAGAGGGAGTCACAGACTGAAACAGGCTCCAGGCTCTGAGCTGGCAGTCAGCACAGAGCCCGACGCGGGGCCCGAACCCGCGAACCGCGAGATCATGACCTAAGCGAAAGTCGGACACTTAACTGACTAAGCCACCCAGGCGCCCCAAGGCTGGAGGTTTCTGAAACACTGGATCCAAACTCTACCTACTTGTGAGAATTCAAAGAATCCTTTCATTTATAGTTATCTCCACAACCCCTTACACTTTCTGTAATTTCTGCGCCACATTACTTTTATGCTCCTAGGAGTATGTCTAACGTGTTACTAGAAGTATGGAAAAATTTCTATGAAAATGAGTTTTTTACTTTTAAAATATTTTAACAAGCAGTGAGCAGAATGTACTGCCATAACTGATGAACATGGACATAATGAGGCAGATGAAAGTTTCTTGGCACTCATAGAAATATGAGAATCTGGGCTATCAAGCATGGAGTTTTAGGCATGCCTAGGTTTCAAGGAGGGAAATCCTGGGGTAGCCTGCCACCTGCAGGGTAACTTCCCAACTAACTCTAGAAGAGAAAACTGGCTTTAGCCTCTCAATTTCAAAGACCAATCCCAGTAAAAACACATTTCGTGATAATCAATGGTGGAAGCTATTTTCCTTGCAGTACTTTTCTTATCGTTAAGTATTACATTTAATAGTTTAATAAATAAACCATTAGTTTTATTTAAATAAAATTGCCCTTTTCTTTGATTCTTTTTAAAAAATTACTTCAATTCAATTATCGTTACATCAATTCTTTTCTTGCTTTTAACTGGTCAAAAACAAACAACCACCTTCATTACGCTGAGAGCTGAGGACACTAAAAACAGATCTTAACAACCACAGTCTATGAAAATATGGTAACTTTGGAAACCCTGCTACTTCCTAGTAGGTCCCTTTTATCTTTTATGGATATATATATATATATATATATACACACATGACAATATTTCTAAAGAATCACAAGAAGAAGGGACAACATAATAATCTGTTTACAAATGGGGGGGGAGGCGGGAAGAGAGAGTATGTAACAACACTGGTGGGTTTTTTGGTTGTTTTTTTTTTAATGTCTTACTGGCTATTCCTTTCACTAAGTTACAGGGAAGTTTTATTAGCTTTAAAAGAGAAATAAGTTGGGGAATGATGCAGTAACACATAACTTAATAGTATACATAAATAACACATCAGTATCAAAAATAAACAAAAGGGAAAGGACAGCAGGACTGAAACCGATACAGTCACACTGCGTTAGAAGAACGGGATGTAAAAGATCAAGGAATAAGAGAACAAGGTAGCTTAATCAGAAAGGCATCACGCAAGGGGACAGGAACGTAAATAATTAAAAGAGTGAGAACAAATATTCATCAAAAAAGAATACACCTTCTTTCTTTCTTAGAGATTTTTAAACAATGTTTTAAAGTAATCGCAAAATAAATAAATAAATAAAATAAAGTAATTGCTACACCCAAGGTGGGTCTCGAACCCATGACTTTGAGATTAAGAGTTGCAGGCTTCACCTACCCAGCCAGCCAGGTGCCCCGAAAGAATACACTTTTCATTAATTTCCTCTCAGAAAACAGGAAAGGGCGATTTTAGGACCTTCCTTTTCCCTGGCGCAGTTAGTTCTATTATTATTGGCTTTTCGGCTTTTCCGTTGCTGCCCTGACCTTTGGAAGGAAGTCAAGGTCAATTTCCTTACCACTCTGATTCTCTACTCAGCCTGCAATTTTGAAATCACGTGGAAAGCTTAAACCAACGCCGGTCCTCCTTCCAGTGGAATTAAATCAGAAAGTCTTGGGTGAGGCCTGTCCTGGTAGAGTTTTAAAACTTCCCTCCCGACTTCCCAAACCCGCAGGGGTGAGAACAACGTGGGTCGGAGCCTAGGCCCCGCCCCCTCCCGCCGGAAGCGGCCGAAGTCTGTCACAAGCCCTGCACCCCGAAGGGAGGGGCTCCCTATGACACACTCCGGGCAAAGACGCTGCGTGCGCCCTCCCGACCGCTGGGGGGCGAACTGCGCGCTTTAGCGCCCATGTTTCGGCTCCGGGCCGGATCGACCCCACGCGTGCGCATGCTCGGTGCGTCCCGGAGGGTGCCGGTGCCGGTGTTACACCACGTGTGCCGTGAACCTAGAGGGCATCATGTTGTGAGGAGATGGGCGCTGCGGTGTTTCGCGCAATCAGAAATTTCAACCTAGAGAACCGGGCGGAACGGGAAATCAGCAAGATGAAGCCGTCCCCCGCTCCCAGGCACCCCTCCACGAAGAGCCTGCTGCGAGAGCAGATGAGCCGTAAGTGGTGCAAGGGGGCGTCTGGACCCCGCGCGCGGGCTCCCGGGGCGGGCTTGGCGTTTCGGCGTCCGTGGACCTTGGTCCAGTGGCGGGGGTGACCGGGGTTGGCCGCAGTGACTCGCCCGCGGAGAGCGGTAAGGTGGTTACCCCCCAGGCCGGTGACATTGAGACTGCCCCCTTGCGCCCTCGTAGGAGTGGCGGCTCCGCCCACTTCGGATTTGCGGAGGTGGCGGCCCCCGTCCGGGCCTGCGGTGGCTTTTATCTAACGCCTGTGGGAAGGAATCCGAGTCTGCAGTTTCTCGGAAGTGCTCTCTGGGGGTCTTCACACAACGGTGGACGCCGGGCCTGACCTAGCATTTTGATTCGCAGTACAGCACTTCCCATATTGTCCGAATGATTGTTTATTAAAAAATTAAAAGTGGCTGTCTTGTGTTAAGTGTTAGGATCTTAGAGGGAATTTTCCTTGGCTTTAATATCGTGACATTCTTTTTTTTAGACCATCCAGAAATTCAGGGAGAAGTTGCTAGAAAAAATGACAAACTGCTGTCCTTACTAAAAGATGTGTATGTTGACTCCAGAGATCCTGTGTCTTCTGTGCAGGTAATGTGTGTTTTAATTCAGCAGATGAGTAATTGAACCTTTTTGTGTTCCAGGGAAACAAACGAACGAGAGAAGTGTGGTAGGTAGTAAAAGAGAGTGAGTGCTCTGCATGTTTAATAGAACTGTCAGTGTAGTTGTGAGCAGCATACAGTGCATTGGCAGAACTTAAGCTCAGTGGTAGTAGTATTGTTTCACAATCTGTAGGATTTGGTAAGATATTTCTAGTGGTTGTCGTTTGAACGACCAGAGGAGATCTTTAGTACTACTTTCTCATCTTTCAGTGGGTTGAGTTTTGTCTTGACCTCAGGGATTCCTTTAGTGTTGTGTTGTCGGTGTTTTGGTTTTGGTTGTTTTTTTTTTTTTTTAATGTTTTTTATTTATTTCTAGGAGAGAGAGAGAGATGGCGTGAGAAGGGGAGGGTCAGGGAGAGAGGGAGTCACAGACTGAAAGAGGCTCCAGGCTCTGAGCTGGCAGTCAGCACAGAGCCCGACGCGGGGCTCGAACCCACGAACTGCGAGATCATGACCTAAGCGAAAGTCAGACGCTTAACCGACTAAGCCACCCAGGCGCCCCTGGTTTTGTTTTTTAAATCTGTATTCAGATAGGAAACGTAAAAACTGGGAGTTTATGAAATACATTAGGAATGGGAACCTATATGTAAATCTATATGTAAATACAATGCACACGTGCTTTGTGTATAGTTATGAACAAAACAGACTTAGTCCTTGATCTCAGTGCTTATAATATTGTGAGGGACATAGACATTAAACAGATGAGCAACCATTAAGTACATAATTACTGATAAATCTGTGAGGGAGAAGTATGGGCACTGTGAGTATATCAGAGGGACCTGTTTGTGCTTGGACAATCAGAGGTGGTTTCTGAGAAAGGGACAATAAGCTCAGGCCTGAAGGATGAACCTAAGTTAACTAGATGAGTTTGTTGGAGCAGGAAGGTTCTAAGTAGGGGGAAGAGTATGATTAAAGGAGAGGAAAGTGCCAATGACAACTCCCAGATATTTTTCCATTGTAAAGTTCTCTGGTCCTCTCTAGATTGGTAATATTGTTTTGCACAGATACGGTTATTAATGTAATTTTCATTAGATAAGCGAAATAAAACTCATGTAAAATAAGGTTTGTGAATTGTTGCATGTAATAGCAATTACAGGGCTCATTTATCACCAGATGTTCCCGTAAAAAAAGATGGAAGGGTTGATGTTCATGTTTTTTGTGTTGAATACTTCCAACAATAACAGGTGTTGAATAATACTTCCAACTGCTGTTGCTCTCTTGCTATACTAAATCATGCATTCAAAAATTGGCCCTTCAAGAGTGAAAAAATTTAACAGTTTTTATGAATACAGTTATGTAGATATAAAACATAAGGAGATATACGGTGGTATTAAAATTTGGAGGAAAAGTTTAAAGAGACTTGGGTGAATGACAATGAAGAAAAAGGTTGAATTACCTATTTAGCTTTGCCCCTTTTTCTCTTTTGGGTAGTTCATAGTTTTCTTAATTATTTGTGATGTTTTTAGACATTAGTGATACTCTATATCATATATCAAATAATTTATTTTTTCTGACTTTTTTTGTTTCTTTTTGAGAGTGAGTGCATGCCAGTGCACGAGCCTGGGCAAGCCGGGTAGGGACAGAGAGAAGAGGGGGACAGAGGACCCAAAGAAGGCTGCGTGTTGACAGCAGTTAGAGTGATGCGGGGCTTAACTAGTGAACCGTGAGACCATGACTTGAGCTGAAGTTGGACGCTTAATTAGCTGAGCCACCTAGGCGCCCCTTTTCTCTGGCTTTTTAACTTACTGCAACTCAAAATTCTGTCAAATACGTTAGTTGTTTTTGTCTTTCATGTATTGGAAGTCTGGACTCCAACATAAAAACGTTTTTCTGTATTAGTACTTTTATGACTGTATATTTTATGTTAAAATCTTTATTTGTCATTAAATGTAGTATTTGGTGTGTAGAGATCTTTTCAGCTGGATGGTCAGTTGTCTAAATGTAGTTTATGGAATAACCGGGTCTTTTCTCCACTCACTTAAAATACTAATATATACAAGTCTGTTTACGGATTTACCAGTTCTACTTACTTTTCTGTTTTGACACTAGGATCATACTATATTAATTAAAGGAGGTTTGCAATGTGTCTTGATGTCCGTTACAACCTTCTACCCCCCCACCTCTCTCCAAAAGTTTCATGACTCTTGTCACTTTTTTCCAGATGAACTTGAGAATCAAAGTGTCAGGTTCTTTAGTACGTATGATTCAGATTTTGAGTGTAACCGAATTGGAATGTACAGATTAATTTGAGAATTAACATCTTTGTATTACTGAGTTTGGGGGGCATAGAAGGAAGGTTGCTACCATAGGATCTTTTTTCACCCTAAGGGTTTTAACTATTGCTAATTTCCAGAAAGTAAGTAATTTTTGTATTGCAGCTACCCACATTTGCAAGGTTGTTATTTCTATTAGTTTTTCAGTTTGTTGTGTTATTTTTCTGAAGATACTCCCATGTCATCAGCATAGAATTACAGTTATCTAGTATTTGTCCTACTACATTTATTGTGTTTGTAGCATTAAGATAGCAGTGAAAGTTGGTATTCCATCCTGTTGTTTCCTTTCATAGGGTGTCTCTAAATGTTTCAGCATTAATTATAATAAAATGATATGGTTTCTGATTTAAGAATACTTTTTTCAGGGGCGCCTGGGTGGCTTAGTCGGTTAAGTGTCCGACTTTCGCTTAGGTCATTATCTCGCGGTTCGTGGGTCCGAGCCCCGCGTCGTGCTCTGTGCTGACTGCCAGCTCAGAGCCTGGAGCCTGTTTCAGTCTGTGACTCCCTCTCTCTCTGACCCTCCCCTGCTCATGCTGTGTCTCTCTCTCTCCTAGAAATAAATAAAAATATTAAAAAAAATGTACATTTGATAGACATGAATGTTTAACATCCATAGGCTTTTGATGTATTTCACTAAAGAGATGGCTATTCTCTCTGGGTCACTTAAATTATTCATCCAATGCTGGAATTCTGCTTGCTGTGTTCATAAATAAGGCCATAAAACACGGTAAANAGTCTGTGACTCCCTCTCTCTCTGACCCTCCCCTGCTCATGCTGTCTCTCTCTCTCTCCTAGAAATAAATAAAAACATTTAAAAAAAAAAAAAAACAATACTTTTTTCACATTTGGGGCTTTTTTTTGTTGTTAATTTGCTCAGAGTTTTTTGTTTGCTTTTTTCAATTAAAGAGGATGTTGAATTTTATCAGATATTGTTCAGTGTCATCATATTTTAGTATTTACTGTTAAACAGAAGGGAAATTTGAAAAAAAGTGTATATGGAGTGGAAGAACAATTACCTGGGAATAGAAAGTTAAGAGAAGCTTTGAGTTTTGGAAAGTGAAGAAGGTGGGATGGTGTTTCAGGCCAAAGTTACAGTATAGGGGTAGAAGAGTGTGATGCCTTCAGAAACCAGTTAGAGTTCATTTACAGTTGAAGGAAAGTGTGAGCAATAAATCTGGGAGAAGTGAGATAGGATGGAGGTAATAGGGACCCAATCATGAAGATCCTTATTCGTCTTGCTAAGAAATTTGGATTTCATCTTGAGGACAGTGGAAAGTCATTGAAGAGTGTCATATCTGATTGCCTTCATAATGGGCTGGGAAGAAACAAAGTTCATTTTATTCAATCAAAGGAAACTAGTTAGGCTTTTGTAGTAGCGCCCACAGGCGACTTTGGCGTGGAGTAGGGTGATGTAGTGACGAGGAGAGAAGTGAATGTGTTCAACAGGGACTTGGAAGTCACTATCAGCAGGCTTTGGTAATCAAGTGGATGTAATGTGTGAGGGAGAGGGAGATGTCAGGTATAACAGGACATAAACGCTTTAAGGTTTGGAATGAGATATGGAGGGAAGTGATATTGGTCACTGAGATGGAAAATACGGGGATAGAACTGGATTTTCTGAGGAAAGGGGTGATATTGGTCACTGAGATGGAAAATACGGGGATAGAACTGGATTTTCTGAAGAAAGGGGTAATTTCAGTTTTAGACATGTTGATTTTGAAGTGCTTGTACATAATCCAAGTAAAGGCGCCCCTTACGCATTTGGGACTTTGAGTCTGTAAGTGAGAAGAAAGGTCTAGGTTTGAGATCAGCTTTGAAAGTTACTAACACTTAGGTAGTAATGGAAGTCCAGGGTGTGTGTGGGATTACTGTAGAAGAATGTGAAGACTGAAAAGAGGGCCTGGGCCAGAACTGGGAGCACACTAACCTTCAGGGGGCAGCTGAAGAGAACAAGTCCTCAAGAACACAGGAGCCACTGGAGAGACAGATGGAAAACTAGGAAGTGGAGTGGCATGGAAACCAAGGGGAAAGTTTATTATGGGTGTGTTGGAGTGGTCTGCATCAGATCTTTAGTGAGTGTTCATAAAGCCTGAAAAGTGTTCTCTGCATTAAGATCTAATCCTCTAATCTAATCCTGGATCAGAGATCACAAATACTATCTTTAAAGCTTAACTAGAGAGAAGGAAACTGGCCATAAACAAAGTGTCAGTGGGCATTTTTAAAAGATAGTGACGATGGCATTTTTATATTTTGACCAAACAGCAGCAGTAGGCATTGTACAACTGAAAGAAAAAGAAGAGAATGATTGGCATACCCAAGTAATGAATGAAAGAGCAAGGATTATACTTGGATGGGACGGATGGGAGGAAAGATGAGTATGCATAGGTTGTTTTCTTATGTTTCTGTATTGGTTTATTTTCTCTCAAGAGGCAAGATCTCTAGCATATTTAAATTCATTTAAGGTGTTTGAAGGCATTGAATATGAAAATCAAAACTAGGAAACAGAATGGGGATTATCGAGTAAATTGTTAGGGCAGAGTCGGAATTCTGCCCTTCTAAAACAAGTTTTAATCTAATCAGTTCATTTTTGTTATTCTTTAATATGCATGAAATGTGATGAGTGGATGTTATGCAATTGATTGTTATTTTGACTAGATTTCTTAATGATGGTTGATCTGTAGTTATGAAACGGTGATATGCGAAAGTGCCATTGAACCTTTGGGTCATTGTAACGAGAAAGTGTAGTTTGGAGAAGCATGTGTAGTATTTATTTAAAGAATAGTGGAGAATTGAGAAGCATGAAAGTAGATGTCACATCTTTTCTCTCATCTTGAAAGCCTTTTGTTTCTGTTTTTTGATACTAGGTAAAAGATGCTGGAACACGTCAAGAGCCAAAGGAGTTCAGATTGGTAAAAGGCCAAGACTTTAACATGATGAGTATTAAGAACATTCCCAAAGGCAAAATTTCCATTGTAGAGGCATTGACACTTCTCAATAATCATAAACTTTACCCAGAAACGTGGACTGCTGAGAAAATAGCAGAAGAATACTGTCTAGAAGAGAAAGATGTAAAATCCCTTCTCAAATATTTTGTTACTTTTGAAGTCAAAATCATCCCTCCTGAAGACAAGAAAGCAATAGCATCAAAATGAAGAAAACGTTAAAATTACTTTCATATGTGTATACCCCAATCCCATGCCCTGTTTAGTTTCTCATTTAGCTTCAAATTACTGAGTGTTTAAAGCTCCCTCCATGGGAGAGCATACTATTTATTGAGCTCTGCTGAATTTTCAGGATTGCCGGTGTAAAGAATTTTGTTTTCTTATAAAGTTTAATTTGGTTTAGGCATATGTTCATGTGTAATATCAACAGGCCTAATCAGCACATGCATAAATTATTATAAATAAAGTTAATGTGTAATTTTAGACACATCATATCATCAGCTTTTAAATTGGTCATATGACCTCTTAGGGAATGGCCTGTATCTCTCTTGTTTAGCATTCAAAGTTTTGCCGTCCAGTTTAAGTGATTAATTTATTTTTCCTATAGAATTGTGAAAGTGAGAATTTTCCTACCTTTTATGACTATATTTTCTTGTTAGGGCAAGGGAGATTTGACAGCAAGGTAGGAGAACAGTATTTCCCAAGTGAAAGCAGACAGGAAAGTGGACACAAATTCAGTAGAAAGTACACTTTTAATATTACAGGGAATAAGAGTTGGTGAGGACTTGTGAACTGGTTTTATGTATGAAATAACTTATAAAAATTATAAAAAGGAGTTGATACTTATGAAATTTTAGCAGTCTTTGTTTTGACAAACAAACAGGTAAATCCAGAAGCTTTCAGAGAAGCAGGTAGTCGTGAGACCTGTCTGGAAAAGTAACTTCTCTGGATTTAGTAGAGACATACAAGAAAATTGTGAAGATTGGTTAAAGCAAAGAACCATGGCAAATGAAATTTGTGACGAATTATATGTATGTTTTCTCATTTAAATGCTGGTTGAAGGCATAGAGGAAAAAAATGCAACAAGTACAAAATGTGATCATTGGAAAGGACCTGGGAAATTGTTGCTGCATCATTTGAACCAACTTATGAGTACAATGTGTATTGGCACTAGGGTCTTGAGCAAGGTGACTGAAGTTTAGCTCTGTTGTATTACCACCCGTGGGATCTTGGGTAGATTGTGCAACCTCTTGGAAACTGAATTTTCTCTAAAAAGTGAATATAATGCTGCCTTATTTAACACTAACAGTTACTGTGAAGATAAATAATAATTAAAGACTGAACAAATAGGACTTTATTCTTATTCTTTGCAGTTAAGAACAGAGAGCTGGAGAGGGTTATTCTCTAGTTGATGACATCATCTAGTTTATGACATAGCCAGGTTGAAAATCTAGGTTTTCAGATTCCTACTGGTATGTTATTTCAAAAGAGCAGAAAGTGTAAGTTGTAGGATTATTGGAAATGTGTAAGAAAAATTCCAGGTTATCTGTATCCTTCTGAAGGCAGATAGACATTCACTACTTCTCAAGGATTCCCTTGGAAATGGTATGGAAGCTGCTGAGGATTTCAGCATGATGATGGAGGGCAGCATTTGCAATGCTAGAAAGAGAAAAATGGGCTGAGATGGGAAATTTTAAGCTTGTTTTCAATTGCAGTTTCATTATGTGAATAAACTGTATTTGTTTATATTTGGTTCAAAACTTTTAAGAAAACAACTGTATAAAATTGCATTTTAAAGCTCTGATAAATCAGTCATCAAACTATTTGTCTTTATGAAATAAAGGTCAATACTTGAATTACTAATAGTGCTATTTCTGAGCCGTCTTCTCTACTGAGATCTGCACACCGTGGTTAGGCATCTGTACATCTGGCTGTTAAATGGTGTCACATGATAAAATAAAGTACTTCCCATATCTTTCATTGGCCTCTTACTGCTTTTTATTATATGTAGGAGAGTGCTTGAGTAGTAGTGGTGTCACGAAAAGCATGGAGTTTAGATTCAGAAAACCTGGGTGTAGATCTAAACATCATCACTAGCTGATGGTATCTTAAAAGCAATGACTGTGCAGGGCCCCTGGGTGGCTCAGTTGGTTAGGCTGGTTAGGCTTCCAGCTTCGGCTCAGGTCATGATCTCGCGGTTTGTGGATTCAAGCCCCTCGTCTGGCTCTGTGCTGGCAGAGCCTGGAGCCTGTTTTGGATTCTGTGTCTACCTCTCTCTGACCCTCCCCTGCTCACATGGTCTCTCTCTCAGAAGTAAATAAAACATTAAAAAAACACACACACAAAAGCAATGACTGTGCTAGGCACTGATCTCAGTGCTTTACATTTACTAACTTGCTTGATATTTGCCATAGGCAGGAAGAGAAGTACTTTTAATCATATTTTACAGAGGAAATTGAAGGACAATGATAAAAACTAACTTTTCAAAGATTAGTAAGTGTTGGAACCTGGACTTAAATGTTATTAGGTTATTTTCAAAATCTTGTGCTCCTAAATGTTTTACTGTGTTGCCTCTTTGGGATTGTAAGAATTTAAGTCATGGCATTCAAGCTGCAGGACTACTCCGCTCGCTGTATATGAGAATCTGAGAAACCCGTCTGGGCCCTCTCGAGTATGATAGATTGGTTTAGTAAGTCAGAAAGATGCCTTTGTTGATGGGATCTAGATCGGAGGTGTTTTTAAAACTACTTAATGACTAGTGTGGCAGCATTAAAAAATAATGTCCAATGTGTGCTGACCATCTGTGAACGTTAAATAATTGCAATGTCTGGGTCTAAAGTTTTTTGTGGAAAAGAAAAGGAAGGAACAGGGGATCGAGGATAGCTCTGAAGGAGAGAAGCTTTCCAGGTATGAAGAAGGGAAGAGGGAAGAATTCCTGGGGATGAGAAGATTTGGGGCTAGCAGAGTCAGGGGAGGAGGCTGGAAGTTTGACCATAGGGTGGGCAGGAGAACAGATCCAGAGAGCCGATAAAAGGATAACTGCCTAAGTAGGTACATTCGGTAAAGCTCTATGATAAACAGGGTTACTATATAATTCATTGCCCAAACTGGGACACTTGAAAGTGAAAAGGGCACCAATTACATTAGAACAACAGGGACAATAGCATCAACTAGAATATCTTGGGTCAACTAGGACGTATGGTCATCCTAACAAGGCATTCATGGAGGTCTTGAAGGCCATCTCACCGTTAATCACTCAGGAATGACTGTTGACTGTGCCAAAGGTCTCTACTTGGCCTCAACTAATGCTTGTACATGGACATTCCCTCCATATCTACTCCAAGCCCTTAAAACACCCATAATCCCAAGAAAAGGAGGGTGGGGCCCTGGACAATTAGGGATTAGGAACCTTCTGTACCCATAATTGGGTACCCATCACTGGATGTATAGAACTGAAGCAGCCCAAAGCACCCTGACTGGGGGAGTGCTTTAAGACGGTTTGTTGGGTAAAAGTTTAAAATATAAGATATGAGCACGTACTCAGCACTAAAGTACTTTTATGCACCTTGGGTAGCCATCATTATAGTAGCTACACTATCTTACTTGTCCTGACAAAGACCAATAGAGTAAGCACTTCAAGAGAAGGAATATCTATCCATTTGTTTACTTGAATATTCCATTTCTTCTGCTTTAGGAAGAGATAGGACTTAGTTACTCGTTAGGAGAAATAATGAAGTATCAGCAGCACTTAGATCTAAATTCCTATATAAAAACCAAAGCAGGGCATTTGGGTCACTAATTCCATGGTCTTTCTTTGCCATTGTCTGTGCTCCAACAGTAGAATGTCTTGGCGACACCTGTGAGTAGGATTGTAGAAGAGGAGCTCACCAGGTAAACAAACAGTATCCTAAGCAGACACGAGGCTCTGTAATTTTTTAATGTGTTGATGTGAAGGATATAGATAGTAACACCAAAATTGCTTCCTCCTTGCTTCCTGTGGGGAAAAAAAGCAACAGGTAGGTCATTAGAAACATGAATAATTTGGGAACAAGAATGTAGTCAATGGGATAAGCCAGTACTTGGGCATTAAGTAGGAATGCCTGAAATGAAAGGAAATAGCAGTGTACAGTCTTGAGCAGGAAGATTTCTTGGTTGCATGAGAGAATATAACCTTTGGAAGAATTAATCTGATTCTGAAAGAGGAAAACCACAACAATGCCACCTGACTGGGGATATACTCTGCTTATGGCTCCAAAGCAAGTAAACGAATAAAAGGACTATGTGAAGTGAAGGATTGATTACTGACAACCACAGCTGGAAATAGAGGAGGCTCTGAGGAAACAAATAAGTAATAGTTTTATTTATTTCTAAAATAAGGCTTGGGCTTTTCTCTTATTTCAGAAAGGTAAATATTGATTAAATCTAATACATGTGCATTTGGTAGTAAAAATTACATTTAGAGCCAAATTTTTCTTTAAATGTCTTTCTGCATTTTAAGCATAATACAAATCATCCAATAATTGAGTTATGTAAATAATGAGGATTATTACTTTTATTTTAGAGTAATCTATAACTCCCTTTCATTTTTCAATGATGATCACTATACAACAGTATATCTTTATATGATATTTACATTTTACTTTTCAATATATGACATTATAATTTCACATATCTTTATATGGGTTGATGAGTATATAAACAGATGCTGCTTTTTAATTACCCCAATAAAAACAATACAAATGGGCTCCTACTTATTATTTAGATTATTATTAATTCAGGGCAACCGTTGCATAAAATATTCAATTCTCATTAACCCTATTCATTGTTCCTTAGGCCATCATCCATTCATTATTCAATCATTTCTGTATGCTGGTGCTGGTCCATAGCTGATTCTATTAGTTCAGATAAGGAGCTTAGAAATGGAAAACAACTTAAAATTTGACTTGTAGAAAGAAAGAAGTGAGGGAAAGGGAAAGATAGAAAGGGGGAGGGAGAGAGAGAGCGAGAAAATGAGAGAATGGAAAATTATTTTTTGCTTTATCATAAGCATCCTGGAAATACAACATCATCAAAGCACAATGAGTACCTTTTCTCCTCTTAGGTTATTTTTTTGTTGCATCTTTTCCCTTTATTGCTAGCCCTGGTGCTGCTGGAGGTATAGAAAAAAAGTAAGATAAAAGATTTTTTGAAGGACTAGATTTAAGAGATTTTAAAGCCTCAAAACAGCATCCTTAATGAGTCCTTTAAATATTTAGGTTGACACATTCTATTTTTTAAGAGACCCGCTTTTAGGTAGGTCAAATGTGTGACCCAGTTCTGAATGTAGATATAAGCTTAACAGCGTGATTTTTTTTTTAACATTCTCTGCTTGTTCAAGTAACTTATTAAGCCAAAAGAAGGCATTTAAACTTTGCTTAATAGTTTTTTTTAAGTGTGTTTTTACTTACTTTGAGAGAGAGAGAGCGCAAGTGGGGGAAGAGCAGAGAGAGGGAGACAGAGGACCAAGAAGGCTCCATGCTGCCGACACAGAACCCAATGTGGGGCTCAAACTCAAGCAGTGAGATCTGGACCTGAGCCAAAATCAGGAGCCGGGCGCTTAACCAACCTAGCCACCCAGGCACCTCTGCTTAGTAAGTTTTTTAAAAATGGTATTTCAAGTCATTTGAATCAATCAACAATATTACATCAATAATATTACTAGTTATTCATTCACCACAAACATTTATCAATCTACTGTGTGCCAGCTACTATTCTAGAAGCTGGGGATTCAGCAGGGAAGATAAGAAAGTCTCAGAGCTTACAGATTCACAATGTTGGCTGCTATTTCAGTTATCTGTTGTTTTTGCTCCACAGCAAACCATCTCAAAATCTAGCAGCCGAAAACACAATTTGTTATTTGTCTCTCATGGTTTTTCAGATTGTTGGAGCTTAGCTGGGCGTTTCTCCCCTGGGATCTCATGTAGAGACATGGCCCAGGCTGGTGTCATCGGAAGGCTAACCTGGGCTGGGCATCCAAGATGGCCCACTCACATGGCAGGCAGCTGATGTCGGTTGTTAGATGAAAGTTCAACTAAGACTGGATTGGCAAGCTTTCCATGTGGCTTGGGTTGTTGTAGTGCAGCAAATGTCTGGGTTCTGAAAGCAAATGCCTGCAGGACAAAGAAAGCGAAGTGTCAGAGCATCACTCCTTTATTCTGTTTGTTAGAGCAATCACATACATAGTCCATACCTCCCTATGGAAACATGTGTCAAAGAATTTGTTGCCATCTTTGGCCTTTGCATCATATCAGGAAATGCATGGTCCCAATTTGTCTCATTTTGATGGTGTTAACTTTGATAGTGAGGTTAAGGTAGCATCTTTCACGTTTTCTCTGTAAAATGACTAATTTTTCTCTTTTAATGAATATGCTATTAATTGGGAAGGGCATGAGAAGTATTGGAAGTGTTCTCTGTCTTGACTTAGGGGGACATATGTATATCGATATCAAGCTGTGCATTTCAAAATAAAGTATTTTACATACTTCAGTTTATTATGCTTAATACCTCAATAAAATTTTTTTTTAAAAATCAAAATTGCCTTCTTCACCTTCTTCCGTTGTCCAGTCGTACTTTGGTTGGTTTGGCAGTGATTCCACGAGTGTCTCAATGACAAAGACTGCAAAACTCAGACACCGCTGACTGTTCTCTAATAACTCACCCCCCACCTTCAGCTTTAGGCCTGAGTCATGACTCTTTGTGATTCGTTTTCCAACTGGCACCAGACTGATCTTTCTTTAAAAATGCAAATGTGAAATTTGCTCCCCTGCTTTAAATTCATCCCATCCGCCCCATGATAAAATCCAAATTTGTTCAATTTTAAGGTGCTCCGTGTCTGCTTAATCTCTCCAAACTCATCTCCCATGACTTTCTCCGTGTGAACTCCAGCCCTCCCGTGAAGTCTCCTCCTGATGTATGGGTTTACCTATGACCTAAAGTGCAAA